CCACCGTGTAAGTCGGGAAACAAATGTATTCACTGGTAGGGGCTGCACACGTAACGATTATTTTGGTACGTCGACTAATCGGCTCGATTATTTTTTCGATTAGTCGACTAAGTCTAACGATTATTTTAAGTTTTGGAATTAATTACAGTGTCGCATAGAAAAGCGTCTAGTGTCCGCTCTACTAACGCCTGTAAGCTTGGGCGCTGTTTGAGCAGCCTCGTTGGTGGACACGCAGCCTCAACATAACCTGAAATAGCGTTTTGCTTGAGGCGAGCGATTAACCATGGAGACGTCTCGTGTTTCCAAGCATGTAAGCTAACGTATAACAATGACTATGGCTAACGTTTGCCTCAAACTTACCCATGATCCAAAGTAAGCCCAGTCCCACCTCACGTTCCAGGGTGGCTTGCCGTTTTAAAATGCTGTGCATCACTGTAGTGCTGCCGTGGAGATGCCAATTCCCCCTTTACAAAATTCTGCAGATTTCACCTGACTTCTTTGGCCGTGTCGTCTGTGAAATAGCTCCCACAACTTTCGAAACTCTCGTCTCGCTTTTGAGCTCTTCATCCAGCCCCTTATTCTCTCTCCTTCTTTTCGCCATCGTTCGTATTCTTTCTTCTTTGTTGTTAGTACAGAATGCAGTCATGGCAGACAATGGAGAGTATACTGCCCCCAGCACTTCCTGTAGTGCATTGCAGTTACAAATGAACATTTGCGCAGTTTTGAATTAACGTTACCGGCTCTCTGATTGTTTTTATACGACGCGTCGACACTAAAATTCCGCGTCGACGAATTTTTATGATCGACGTCGTCGATTATGTCGACTAATCGTTGCAGCCCTAATTCACTGCTGAAGTAACCATTATACACGAGCCTACCCAACCGTTTTTAGATGGAAAGAGTACAAACAGCAAAAAGTCTATTTATGGACAAAACCACTCACTCTCCCACCAGGCTCAGAAGCCATTTAGCTATGGGTGGTGGCAAAGTGAGACGGTGCAAAGTGAGTATGATTGAAGAGAAAGTTTGCCCCAAAATCAAAAATAATTTATCTTCTGATATTTATGAATCCGATTTTTACTGAGAGTTGTTGTTCGAAATTTCTCTTGGCACTCACTTGTGGTGCTCACAGCTGCAAATAATACATTTGTTAAACTCGACAGCAATGTCTCCTTTTAGAAATCATGACCCAGTTGCTAAAGATAACTCTTAGTCCTTGTTTCATGTAGGAACTATCTTATTTGTATGGTATTACCACGCAGAAGGAAGCACGCACCTGCTCATGGACGAGAGGCTTGAGCTTGTGTAGCTCATCTGAGCTTGTGGAGACATCTGAGCAATAATGTTAGCTTACTCAAGTGAGCTCAGGAAAGCCTTTTATAAATCAGTAAATGCTCGCTTCTCTCCACGGAAAGAAAATAGTTCCTAATTGAAACTTAGGTCTCTAACTCTGTCAGGATTTCTAGACAGGGACATGCTGTTCAGTTATTAACACTAGAACCGCCAGAAGTCGCTGTATACCTAAAACTACCAACGGGTCAAAGTTACCCGCTATTGATTTTCAAGGAACAATGTTCTTTTATTTGTCATACAGAACAGTGAGTTTAGATCGCACAGGGATGAAACTTATACCAATAGAATCTGTGGAATCTTAGCTTTTCATATGATATGATAGTTTGTGCAGATAGCATGAAGTATAAAATATCGCTAACAGTGCTGATTTAAACGCTTGGTGTTAGACTTGTGTTTTGCTTAGGTACAAATCTCTCTCTATCTATATCTATCTATCGATCTATCTGTAATGTTCTGTTATATGGACATATAATTGTCTACATAAACAGACGACGCAGACTACTTCTCTCATTCCGAGTGTCCATCTTTATTCAAGTGGCACGTAACCTGCACACATGCATTACGTCCTCAACGTGAGCTCAGTCATCCAAGATCTTGTATTCTCCAAGATGTTATACTATCTATAACTATCTATCCGTCTATCTCTCTCTCTCTATCCATCTTATATCTATCAATCTATGTCTCTCTATCTATCTATAAGGAACCGCAGTAGGCAACAGGCGTTGCTATAGCAACACGTCATGTTTACGCTGCATTTTCTATGAGGTAAATATTACCCGCTGGCGGATATGGGTATAAATGGCACATTCTTTGGCGATTTTTTCAATCTGACTTCATATTGACAATTGTTAACAACAGAGGGTGCTACATAACACTCTTTCAGGAAAAGTCACGGACTGGGAGACTTTAATATTTTATTGAAAAAAAGTTACATACAATCTAAAAACAGCTGCGGGTAAAATTGACCCTTTGGCGGTTCTAGTGTTAATACCAGCGACTGCTGTCTTGTTCCATTATATGGGAGAAAATGCAGTGATCTTCACAGCTCATATCTCCAACACTACTCACAACAAAACAATTTAGATACATTGGGTGTGAACTGTCCCTTATAAGTATTATATCAGAGAAGAAGACACTACCTTCATGAAGTCTCACTTATTCTCAGGGTGAAGGCGTGAGAAACACATTAACAGACTTGTCTCAGGCGCTAACCTTTATGTTGTTTGAGGTGTGGTGTACGCCCCGCAGGCATTGCAGGTTAGCGCACACACAGACACACCCAGATGAGTCCCTATCGGCATATTGACCAATATATTGCCAGTGTACGTCTTCCTTTAATGTCCCTAAGGACGTGGCTCAGAGCAGTGATCGAATCACAGCAGAGCGAAGGTGAGGCTCTTCTCCTCAGGGCTCCGTCTCCAGCCTGCTGCTTATAGAGCGCTCCACCCCGGGAGGAAGTGCTGAACAAACAAGAAGAAGAGCAAAGGACTGAGGAGTTATTGTAGAGCGCACAGAACGTTTAAAGGATCCATACCGAGGGAAACAGAGAGAGTTGTCACTTTTTTCCATGTTTTAGTGAGTGTCTGTTTTATCTGTCCGTTAAAATGAAGCATACAGTGCACCTCCAGCGCCTTGCTCCGCTTTATCTCCCCGTGCAGCGCAGCCCTGTTAATCCTTCAGTCGGGCAGCAGCAGGGAGAGCTGGCCTCTCTCCTGAGACGCGCTGTGTTCGGAGCCCTGTTACTCTCCTCTAAATGCCACACAGTGTTCAAAGGTCACTGCAGATGTAATTGAGCATTGGTGGCTGTGGCCTTTCCATGTTTCATTTCCTTTCTCTCTTTTCGCTGCTTCCTTTATCTTTATTACGACCCCCTTCCCCTCCCTACACAGCTCGCGAGGAATCTCCCACCACGGACCATTGGGTACCCATGGACGCTGGCCTTTGGCACATCAAAGCATGGCATGAGCATCAAGTCTCTGTACAGAGCCATGCAGGGCCAGGACACCCCCGTGCTCATGGTGATTAAGGACAGCGACGGCCAGGTGAGCTGCAGATACAACCCAGCAGGGGAACACTGGGAAAAGTAGGAGCTGAGTTAGGCCCAGTGTACACAGAGCTGGGCGGTGCCTCCTCCCAAGCAGAGGGGGAACTAACTAAGTACATTGGTTTTTCCACCATAAACACAAACTGAAGGATGCTTGCTCTCACGCTTTGAATGGATGAGCTTCACCTCTCAGACAGTTGGCGCTAGAGCGAGGACGTTATGGCTAAACAAATCACAACACTCACCGGCAGCATCATCCAGGGTTGGCCCGGCCTATCTAATCCAACACATTACCTTTCTGGTCTTTATTCTGGTAGTTTCCTTATGAAAGACAGAGCAAAAAACAAGCATCTCCTTTGATTCCTACAGTGACGGCACCCGGGTGACTTTCTTAAAAAAGTTGATATTTTGAAGTGGAAACACTCAAAAACATTGTAGCGCTAAAAAAAAAAATGCAGGATGCAGTGCTTCTTCTCGAGGCGATGAAATATGCTCTCTCCTCATTGGAAACCATTTCAAGATGGACACAGGCCCTTCAGTTGTTAATTGTTGTGTTATTGCATTCTTTGTGATTTGTTCCTCCAGGTGTTTGGTGCGTTGGCGTCTGAGCCCTTTAAAGTCAGCGATGGCTTCTATGGCACCGGGGAGACCTTCCTCTTCACCTTCAATCCAGAGTTTGAGGTACACTACCTTGACTTTCTGTAGGAATTCAAAAAGGTACAGTGTCCTTTATGATGGCACTTTCCCTCAGGTAAGAACATTTGCTAAAAGAGAGTGAATATTTGAGGTGATCATCATGTGGTTGTAAGCATTACCACGGTGTAGTGTCATTTTGTATCTGCCCTTTGTGTGGATAAACAATATGCTAAGAGGTTTACCATGCAAACTGTTAATGTAAACATTGTGTAATCTGCCTTATCCGCATAAAAAAGGTACTTGTATTGCATTAAAAATATTGTTTTTTGTGTAACGGGCCAAAAACACTTGGATACTTCCAACACAATAATGTTGTGTGGAACTGGAAAGAAGTTTGAAAAGACTGTTTTAGGCAAAGAGTTAATACTTATTGCAGACTTAACCCAGATAACATAGTGTGTGCAATACTATGCCAGGATAGACTCAAGGTGACACGGTGAATAAACTCTTCTTCTACTCCCAACCCACGCGGTGATAAATATGTGTCTGTATATGTATACATTTGAAAGTCTTCTTTGAACGGTTCTTTAAAGCTTCCAATTTCAGAGGCATGTAGCGTTTTGTAACTTGCATTCTTGGTTATGCTCTGAGAGCATTTACACTGGAATGCTTTCAGGGTGGAGGAATTAAAAAAATGCTATATTTGCATAACAGGTTTACATTAAGGGGCTTTAATCCCGTCATCTATGACAATGACATGATTGTCTGGATCTTCCCCATAACCAAAAATATAGAAAATGTAGACTTCTCTTCAAAGGACAGTGTCTGCATTATCAAATGTATCTCTGCAGATAATGATCAGAATGTCACCTAATTTGGATCAGATGTTTACAGACACTAAACACTGAATTGTAGGCCAAAATGACATAGGATATTAAAATAAGGAAAGGTATGTATTAATATATGAACCATCTTATATGCCTTGCATTATAGTATAAAGTATAATGCAAGGCAAGATGTTAATACTAGACCATGCCTTAGAGGTAAACATCGATGTGTTCTGCTCTCATCGGGGTAAACACCACTGGACAGACATGATCAGATGCTGTAAACATGTAACATGTCATGAAATGCCTCCTAATGTTGCTCTATTGTGTGTGGGACAGGTGTTCAAATGGACAGGAGACAACATGTTCTTCATGAAAGGAGATATGGACTCTCTATCTTTTGGTGGAGGAAGGTGAGTCCAATATTACAGACACACCATTCAGTCTGAACTAAATCTGTTTTAATAGAATCCAATGATACAATATAGTTCAAAGTTATTCCCCCGAATGAAATAATGATATTGAAGAGGTAGATAATTGAGAATAACACATCATTTAAGAACTGCTGGAAAGAAATACCAGCTTCCTTTTGTTCTATCTTTTTGTCTGGAAGCAGGTGAGACTGAAGCTAATGTAGTGTAACCTGCTAACATGCTATCACTGTGTTTAGAGTGCATGGGAGGGACTTGACTCAAATACAAAAATGAGTGCTTCTATTTCGTATATGGCTTCGCCCTCTAAGGCTATCGCTATTGGGTAATCCCCTGCGCACCCGCGCAGCACTGAAACACTTGTAGTCCACGCCCACCCGCAAGGTGGGCCCCGCCCTCGGGCCTCCTTCCGGTATAAATAGGAAGGAGGCCCGGCAATCTGCTCCCTCTTTTCTTCAGCAAACCAGCACAGTTACTGAAGCACAGAACCGTTAAACATCATGAGCAACAACTGCGTCCGAAATTGTCTCTCATGTGGCTCAGGATATATCATGAGCTATGACCAGCACGCAATGTGCGAATCCTGCCTGGGGCCAGAGCACGCGGACGCGGCTCTCAGTCAGCAGGTCGCTTGCTCACATTGTGCCGTCTCCCATCAGCCGACAGGAAGCGAAGAGCAGACGCTCTAGCTGCTGCGGCCGACGAGGACGATTGGCCCGTCCAGCACGTGGACAGCAGCATGTCCCTGGAGCCGAGTTCCAGGCAGGAGTCGGACGACTCCTACCCCGTCTCCCTCATGGTTCACCGTGCGGTTCTCCCCTCCCTCCTCTCCCGGGGGCTGGTTTGGCGGCCGAGCATGCGGTCCCCTTCTCCGTCGCCACAGGACGGCGCCCTACGTTGAGCTCCCCCAGAGAGTATGTCGCCCGCCAGGCCGACCGCGGGTGCACCAGTGTGCCTTTCTGGCGACGGCGAATATCATCCGCGCGCTCTCCAACCGTGGGACACTGGTAGAGGCTGCCACCACCGAAGGCCAGAGGAATCAGCAAGGCGTCCAGCCACGGGCTCACCTGTGTGCGTCCGCGCTTCGTCCTCCCAGGGAGGGAGTCCCCGTGGGTTGACCACAGATCCAGCGCACCTCAGCAGGCGTCTGTTACGGGAGACGGCGCCAGAAAGTGCCTACAGGAACGCCTCCAATCAGCCCGTGCGGCGTTTAGGATCAGTTCCACCGCCATGGTTGAGCCATGAAGACGGCGAGAACAGCGCGGACGGCATTCCCCCAGCCATGTACCAGCTGGCCCAGCCGTGCGAGCGCCCCACAAGCGGACACCAACGGGCAGCAGCCGCGGCCACATGAGCCGCAAGCCCGGAGGACGCCCACAGCAACCGCCTCCGCGTCAGTCTCTGCCTTCAGCGGTGGCAGGGGCTCCTCCACGCTCTCCGCTCACCCGCCACCCCAGAGACAGGTCCCCGGCGCGAGTCAAAGGGGAGTGAGCGCCCGCAGCCCCCACGGCGCCTAGGGCTCGCTGCAGAAGCTGCCGGTTTAAACCTTGGTTAATAACCTGCAGAGCTCGGCCATTCCTCTGTCCGGACGCCTCGTACCACACGGTCATTAATAAACCCATGAGCGCTGTTATAACGCCTCATGTGGGCAGAACTGCACATACCTCCCCATACCATCCCCCTGAGCGTGTACAGCGCCTCCATGAGAGAAAGTCGGAGTGAACCAGCGGTGTGAGGGCTCCCGCCAGCCCTTTCGACCTTGGGGTTGACCTCACGGGCAGCGGCGGCAGGGGCTCTGGCGTGGGCCCGGTGGCTCGTCACCATGACACCAAAACACATCTCGAGCACTGGGCGCCGCTCTCTGAGTTTTTCTCAGATGGCAGCGCGTGTCTGATGGACAGATGGAGAGCAGGCTGATCAGCAGAGGAAACTCTCCTGCAGATCGCTCACTCTGGTTTCTCTGACGACCCTGCTATTGCTGGCCTCGCTCGAGGGAGGAACGTCGCTTTACAGACGGTACACCTCGTATTCGCATCTGTCAAAGCCCTGGTTCCATAAAAATGGAAAGAAGAAGCGTCTCAGCCAGCCATGAGAGCGCTGGCATCTTCGCAGGCAAGCGAGTGAAAACTGACAGCTCTCCTCCGGCTGTCACAGCCCTCTCCGTGATCGCACGCTCTGCGTTGCGTCACTGTCCACCGTGATGATCCCCCTGGTCTCTTCCAACAGGGACACTCCAGAGGTGGTTCATTTCGCGCTAGAAGCCTGCGTTTTAACCTATTGGTTTATAACTGCAGAACTCGCGGCATTCCTCCTGTCCCAGATAATGCTCCTAACAACACGGCATAATAACCCACGACACCGTTATAGACGCCTCTGTGGACAGCATGCACACACCGTATCGATCCTGGCGTACGGGCCTCATGATGAGAGACGGAGGGAAATGCAGCGTGTGGAAACTCCCTCGCAGCCCTTTTGCCTCACGCAGGCGGCGGTCGATGGCGTGCTTCGTCACCATGACGACCATTACGGCACATCACAGAGAAGCCACTCCGTCCCCCAGCAGTTCCATGGAGACAAGAAACACTCCCTGTCATCCCAAGGAAAACAGTGTTGCGCGCGTTTTTTACTCCGCTATTTTGCTAAATCTTCGGGAAAAAAACGAGGGACATCGCCCCCGTTGCGTCCAATCAATGTTGATTCGCACAGACAACAGGCCCACGCTATGGAAGCAACCTCATCGCCAGGAGGAGTACGATCGCGCAGCTTCGTTGAACGCAGCCAGGCGGCTGGCTGTTCTGGGCGCGCCAACCAACACGTTGCCGCACAGAGCAAGTAATATTCCCGGCCGAATGAACGAGGGCTCGCAGAGCGCAGCAGCCTGGTTATGCAGAGTCGGAAGACTCAGACCTGTGTCACGCACACTGCGCCTCAGGGGAATTGGCTTTGGTGTTACGCGCAAAGTAAAAGCAAAAGCCCCATTTGAACCTTTGATCAGGTTCCCTGTAAACTGTTGTCAGCCCAAAGAGAATACTTGGTGCTCTATCACGAAAGGGTGATGATTGGGTCTGCTCTCTCTGGTGCTTCCGCATGCTTCCGGGATCCAAGGAGATGGCATTCAGCTGTTTCGCCCTAGACCCGGCCTTAATCAAAGGTCATCACAAGCTCTTTAGAGTCATGAGGATCACCTTGGATGGCTTCTTCCCCCTCCTCACAGGTCGGAGAAAGCCGGTCTCATCTCTCTGGTCCATGTGCGCGCGCGTCCTGCACAGTGCGCGCAACGGCTGCCTTGCGCCATTCTCAGCGCCTGTTGTGCATTATAGAAAGCCTCCAGATCGGGCCAACCTCTGCTGCAAAACGGCTGTCACACTGGCTGAGGAAGCTGATGTCAGCAGGCATATGTCTTCCTCATGGGGTGGATCCCCCGAAACATCAAGCGCACTCCACCAAGAAATGTCCCCTCCACAGGCTTTGGCACGAGGAATGGTCAGTGACAGAACATTGCACTGCTGCATCATTGGCTCCCCTGTCATTTATCAATTGATTAAAGGGTTCTCCCATTCCTCTCCTGCACACCCTGTACCAGAGTGGTCCTTGTCAGAGTGAGTACGTCAGGGATCCAAGCCTGGGCGCTCCCTCATCTGTCGAACACGCAGAAGCTCGCGTCCCCTTCGATGATCCGCTTGGCAAGTGGGACCTCGTCTACTACTTTCTCACAGCGGACCGGTATTTAATTGTCCAAGCCTTCATCCCCGTCGGAAATAGCATGTTATTGCTATGTTCCAGGGACGGAGATGCGCCATTACGCATGGGCACAACAGGCATGGGGTGTGTAGGGAGCAGGGTGTGCCTGTGCCGCTAGTGCTGGGCGGACCCAGTGGGCCGCAGACTAAATATGCTTCGCCCCTTAACCCAATAACGATACCTAGAGGCGAAGCCTAAATATCGAAATAGGAACGGAGGTCCACTGTAGACCCCAGCTTCTATGAGTTAAATGGCGCAGCCCTCTAGAGCGGGGCCCTCACTGCTCTAGATAGACTGAAAGAAAGGTATTTGTATGGGAGCAGATTGTCTGCCTCCTTCCTATTAATACCGGAAGGAGGCCCGGAGGGCGGGCCACTTGCGGGTGGGCGGGACTAAAACAAGTGTTTCCAGATGGCTGCGCGGGGTGACGCAGGGGGGGATCCCAATAAGCGATAGCCATCGCATGAAGCGGCTGCCCATTCTCATAGAAGCTGGTTACAGTAGGTAACCTCAGTTCTTAGTATTTAGACCCATAAAGGTAAGTCACCAGCCTATGGTGGCTGTAACGAGTAATTACAACAACAAACACATTTAAGAATGTTAGTGGCAACATTTTTCATCTGCTACACAGAAGAAACAGCTATTACGAATCACACTTATAATAATCACCCGATAGTATTTTCTCACATCCCTCTTCGGGATAAAAATGATTTTTACATTCTGCAAAAAGCGTTATTGACATGAAATATACCAGTTAAAGACCTGTAGCCTCCTGATGATGAATCTCCAGCTAACCCTGTCTCTTTCCCCTCCAGCGGGAGGTTCGGCCTGTGGCTGGACGGAGAAACCGACCACGGCAGAGCCACTCCTGTAAAACATTGGGAACCCCAGCGTCGAAGAAGGAAGATTTCTATCAGTGGACATAAGAGATTGGCTTTTGAATAACCAACGTGTGCACACAGGAGAAAAAACAAGTCCTTGCAACAAGGGCAAAGCGAGAGCCCCTCCTCCTTTTAGCAAGGCCCCCAACCTGATGCACATCACCGGGCTCCGCAGGAAGGCCAGCTGCCAGAGCTTGTTCGTGCGTACTACGCAGTTATACGATGAGCTCTGTCGTGTGAAAAATACCTTTGTGGTGTATCTTGTTACAAGCCTTTGTGCGGCGCTTACAGAGTAAGGGGGAGGGTGTGAGGAGGAAGGAGAGAGCCTTTAGAGCATAGACTCCTCTCCACCTGAAGGCATTGGGTTTGGGCCGCGAGCAAAATGACCAGCCCTGAACTCCTCCAGATCGTGGTACCCGTGCACAGAACCTCAAGA